CGTTCCTCAGAGCCGTGTTCTGTAAAGTTAGACAGGCGCGACCAACTGTTGGCAAATCCCGCCCTTTCCCCCTGCTCTTTAGTGTGTGTGTGTGTGTGTGTGTGTGTGTGTGTGTGTGAGCACAACTGTCTCTTTAATTGCCAGGTATGGGTGGGGAACACACCCTCCCTTTTGGGCTTTTTGGGCAACTCTCAACGAGTCACAGGAAGTCGGCATTCCAGTCAAGCCGGCAGTACGGCTTCTTGAAATCCCCTTGCAGCTACAGCCAAACGCAGGTAAACAGGCACGCACACACCTTCCTCGGCGACTCCGGCAGGGAGCTGGCCAGCATTCTAGCTGCCTGTGCTGCTCCTGATCTGCAGAATCACAGCAGAGATGAGGAGATGCCCCATAGCACTGTGTTTTCTGGATTTCTTGCATTGTTCATTCGCTGCACACATAAATGTATGTTTATATTGGTTACTTAGCAGTGCAACTGCAGACATAGTTTACCAAGAATGTGCTGCAACAGCTCACTCAGAAGTAAATGTCAGTAAACTGGCCCTTGAACTCGCCTCGGTCCACTTAGTCTGGGATAAATTGTGGCATGCTCTTTATACTCCCAATCAGCAGCTCCACCCCCTATCCTGACAAACCAATCAGAATCAATGCCATGGTCGTACCGCCGCCCATTTCCCCGTTCTGTTACAAACCCCTTCCCAAAGTTCTCCCTCCCAGACTGCAGCCCCTGCTGGTTCCAAGTACACAGCACCAGCAAATTCCTTGCAGAGCCGCTCAGGCCGTCGTAACGGCATTTATGGTTACACAACCTCGCTGCCTTTGTTTTTATCTCTGAGAATTACCACACTCTGTGATGGCGGCTACACGGTGACTAAAGCTTACACAGCCTTACACAGCGAAAAGCAAAGACACCGCAGAGGGTAAATTAAGAACGAAGAGGAAGAGAATGGTCTCTAGTTTTTAGCTCTTTCATGATATTTCTAAAGGATCTGTGGCGTATTTGTAACCAGGATGTTTATTGTGTTATATTGTGCAATAGATATTGAACAATGGTTTCATTTGTATCTGTTACTGAATTGTGCCCTGGAATGAAAATGAACAACAATAGCTTATGACAGAAAGAAAACACCATGAATAAGAGTAATTTTGTTGTTTAATTATCATAAATAAATATGGTATCTGCCCATCTGTGTCCAGTTGCAGGTTAATGTTTTATTTTTACATGGGGAGATAACTAGTTAACAAGATTTAATTTGCTAGGGTTGGGCAGGACTGCTGGCAGGCAGATTTTTTCTGCCTGCAGACGACATATGAAAAAAATATTGGTATCAATGCTATATAAGTTTTGCTTGATTCTTCATTTTTCTCTCTCAACACATTTACCCGCATTCTTCACTAGCTTATAGGAGTGATTTCTGACAATGTATTCACCCTCGTTATCCACTCATTTGGTTGAATATTAATATTTACTGACATCCCCGCGCGTCCACACGAATGCACGTATTTTATTTTAATTTTGGAGTGTTAGTTGAATAAAACTTCTTTTCGACGTCCTATCGACACACTTTACGGGAAGGAGAAAGCGCTCGCAGATTCAATTATTACCATGGCAACCGATCCCTCGCCTGGGGAGGATGGGGTACATGGGAGGTCAGGACAAACCGTTCCCTTGGAAACGGAGCACGTCGCTCAAGACGACAGGCCCGCCTATTTGCACGAGTGATGCGCGGGAATAGGGGGCTGGGGGGGCTTTAATTGGCTGAAATTCTGCCACTGGGCTTGACAGCATCGCGCACCCTTAAAGGGAAAAATAAAGACGCTCTCCAGCTCGATCATCACTATTGGAGTTTCTGACGCTAGCGCTCCATCGTTTGTCGTCGGTCTTTTACGGCTTTTTAGGATACATGCATTTCTGCCAACAAATTAAAATAAAACATAAATATTTTTGTCTGAATTGCAAGCTTCTAAAAGAGCCCATACCAACTTGCATAATTATGTATATTTTTCTGAAAAGGGTCGGAATCCTTTTCCATGTGGGTACATGCTCCGTGGGTTAAAGGTTTTTCATATCGGATTATTATTATTATTTATTTTTTTAAGTGTTTCTTATAATGTTTCAGAACAGGAAAATACTTCTTAATTGAAACTGATGTCCCAGACAGTAAATAGCTTTCTGGTTAGAGAACTGAATTCACAACATTCACCGCCCATGTAAAGCGGGTGATTGCTTTCTTGCATAATTTAATATTCTATGCATCGTTTCTCGATTAAATAAAAATTATAGGCATTAAACTTTGGAAACAGCGATGAGTATTACACATTATACAGCGTGGGGTTTTGCCTTAACAAGGGGGCGTGTACATTGAGGTTCACATTTTACATGCTGCGCTTGAATAAATGTTATATTTTTAATTAAATTTTCCTAAGTCCATTGCAAAGACAATTTTTAAATCAAATCTTATTGAGTTTTCGTCACGAAACTGCCATTGTCTTTTGACTATTTTATGTAAGCGAGAAATAGGCGACTTTCACATTGAGACCACTTCCGACTCACTTTCTATCGGGATTACTTTGCCTTTAAGATCTAAAGGCATTCGTCTGCCGAACAAAAAACGCTCCTCCCCGATGTTGTACCTACAGGTCCTCCTGCCACCGGAGTGCCTGCTACTGTCCTGAGCGTCACAAATCACCCGGCGACTTCAATTCCCACAATGCCTCCACAGGTTTGCTAAAATTGCTCTTGTAAGAAAACGGGACTTGTAGTTTTTTTCCCATTCTTCTTTGTAAATTAACGTGTCGTTTGAAATAGAATTATATCTACAAGAAAAAAAAAATGGTAAACGTTTTTAATAAAAATTATTTATCCTCCAAAGGCCTGTCCTGGTCAGGGCTGTGTGGTTTTTATTCTTAATGCTTTAATATACAAGTCATAGTTGACATAAGTTGATATACCTAGAATTAAAAAAAAAAAAGTTATAAGCCTTGTGATTGAAGCGTGAGTTCAGTATGAGTGGGAAAAGCAAAAGAGGAAACTGGAACAGGCATTCTGTAAGGCAATCTCTTCAATGGAGTTCACTGAAGGGCCACAGCATCTACAGACTCTGCTGTGACTGAAGAGGTCTCACTACTACTTGAATCTTGGTGGATGCAGGGTTGCCAATTCTCACGCATCTGGCACGACACTCACGCGTTCAGATTCTCACACTCATGCAAAAATATTATTCCATTATACATCTAAAACTAGCTACATCAAAAGTGTTGGGGTAGTTTGCAAACACTACAGACTATTTACAAGGTAATAAAATGCTTACATACATGTAAATGTGTGCGCATGTGTGTGCAGACTTGCCTCGAATTGAAAATCTCACGTCAGCCAGCTGACCAAAGTTGGCCACCCACGTGGATGGCACACAGTGACCTGGAGAATTCCCTGATGTGCTTCACCAACAGGACCAGAGCCTGCAACACAAGCAGGAAAGTATTACCTACGAGCGTAATGACTCAGTTTGTCAGTATTTATAATGCCATGCTTCTCACACTCTGTTGAATTGGTGCTCTGTGTGCTTTCTGACCATATCAATCTGAGTACCAGCATCTCTTGTGCGCCATCTTGGTCATGAGTCATAAGCATCATCTGGGTGAATCTGTAGTTATGTTTGTCCAGTTAGGCTTTTTATTAGCTGTGTTGTGTGGCAAAGGTGATATCCAAAGTCATATTAGTACCTCATTTGCTTAGTAGACATTAAGTCTCTGCCATATTGTGATACGTAAAATTTCACAATGTGACGCATTTTCACATCTCTTTTTTTGTAATCTTTCATAATTGAGTTACCCAGTAACTTACTATGACGTAAAGAGGTAATCATAGCAACAAAAAGATTATGTGGTTTGACAGGGTTAATAAAACAAATAATATGTATTGATACTGCTTGTATTTTTGACTTTACTTAATGTTTTTTTAGTTTACATAAATCACAATTTTCCCGATTTAGTAAAAATGAACAAAGATTGAGTAAATGTATCAGCTTTGCAATCTATTATGTAATTTCGTGGAGTACTAAATGTAATGTCAATGAGACTACATCTTTTACAGTGATATTTTTGTCTTAACTTCCGGTTATCAGAATCCCTTTCAACCTTCAAGATCATCTGTTCCAGGAACACCTCCGCTAGCTCTCCAACCACTGACCTGTCCTATCTTCATCTGTGATTCCTCTGTAGTCTCAGGCGTATCCTGAATGCCCTTTTTTGCACTTGTCTGTGATTGAATAGCTCTCTCATTAGCTTCCTGCTATGTTTGTAATCTATAGTCTTGCTCTGGTGCTCACTTTAACTTTCACTTGCTACTGGTCATTCATTGGAAGCTCAGTCTAACTACACTTGCCTGGTTGTGTCCTTCACAGCTGTATGTTTGTAATGTAATATCAGCCTTGCTTGTATGTCACTTTAGACAAAGGCATCTGTTAAATAAATAAACGTAAATGTAGATGCAAGCTAAGAGCTAAACCAGTACACCTCTATTGGTATATATGACCATTTTTTGGTGGAATGATATCTGTGGAGTTCACTGTGTCTGTGTGAATGTATTACTGTAGTCATATCACCGCTTGGAGTCATACACATTTGGTTCAACTTTGGACCATCTTACCTGCTCAACTGGAGACACTGCGATGATACAGTTTTGATCTCTGGTCAGTGTCAAGCCTGCTGCATAATCACAAATCCCACATGAAGCTGGAGAGAAACATTTCAACCACATTTATACTTGACATCTTTACCTTTGGCCTGGATGCTTTATAAAAGCTATTCCTTAAATACAATTTCCTTAAACATTGTGCTTGTGCATTTTATATCAGCAAGACCTGCGTAAAAATCACAAGAATTTTTTGTGATCTTACTAGGCTAAATTCTAGCATATCCTGTCACAGGAAAGTGAGGATCAAGACCACAAAGACCTCAAAACCCGAAACCTCAGCTGTTTGGACTTAGAGGCACACGAATTACACGTCCACTTCTGCACACCTTGGGCCCACGGGTTTATCGCCCTTCCAGTTCGCTAGGCTGCCTTACTTACATATGCGGCTATTGATTTCACCCCTCGACGCATAGCCAAAGGAAGGCCGTTCTTGTTCCCAGGCATTGTTAAGATGCAGAGGCGGTACACCCCTGCCTCTCATGTTCGCGGAGATCAGAGGCAGCACTTAAGATGACCGTGCGGTGCTCCTACATCATGGCTCCGTCCCCCTCTTCCCATTCCATGACTTCCATGTGAGGAAATGCTTTGAAGGCGGAGATGGTGACAGATTATCCATCCATCTTCTAACCACTTATCCTGATGAAGGTCATGGGGACTGGGGGGGGGGGTTGTTGGAGACTATCCCAGACAGCACAAGGCTAGGGTACACCCTGGATGATTTGCCAGTCCATCACAGGACATAGTCATTCACTACGGGCAATTTAAAGATGCTTGTTGCATGTTTTGGTCTGCAGAAGGAATCCTGCATGACACACGGAGAACATCTGTAACACTTGGTATCAAAATAAACGGATTAAATGGTGTTCTTCACCTTTAAGTCATGTACCGCAGTACAATTTCTAACCACAATCCATCCATCCATCTGGAGTCCCAGGATGCACAGGCCATCATGCAGGGGTACACTCCGGACAGGATGCCAGTGCAATTAGACACATCTGTCTGTCCACTCATCCATCTATCCCTCCATCAATCCATCCGTCTTCAACCTGCTTATCCTGATCAGGGTCGCAGAGAGGCCAGAAGCCTATCACAGACGATGCAAGGCAGAACGGCCAGTACACAGGACACCACAGGAAAAGAACTGGTGTTTAAAATTGGTGACTCCTTCACAGAACATATGTTATGATGTAATATTTGTCTCAGTTTTATGTCACTTTGGACCAAAGTGCCTGGTAAATAAAAATAAATATAAATACATATAAAATATAAAATACTATAATACTCTTTATATTACACTACAATTACATATAAAATACTATAATACTCTTTATATTACACTACAATTACATATAAAATACTATAATACTCTTTATATTACACTACAATATGATGAACCAAACATATAAAGGGGTCATTTGTATCTGAACATTTTTTTTTAGAAAATTTAGAAATTTAAAATTTAGAAAGAATGGAAAGTCATACATTCTGGGTATTTTGTCTGTATATGTTACCTAATTACAAAATTGAAATTAATTTATTGCTTTCTTTCCGGGCATTCACTGATCCAAATAGGGGTTTTTTGATTTAAACCCCCCTTCTGAAAAACACAGTCGGACAGACACACACACCTATGCGCACACAGAGAGAGAGAGAGAGAGAGAGAGAGAGAGAGAGAGAGAGAAAGACCTGTACTCATATCATTGTGGGGACTGTCCATTCATTTCTAAGGGCAAAACCTGAATCCCAGCAATGACGACCTTAACCCCTACCCAGCCCTAAACTTAGCCATAAGGAAACAAACAAAATACAAGACTTTTGGCATTTTTTGTTTTTTGATTACAGTCACAGATTTGTATAAAATTGAATTTCCCCTTGTGGGGACCAAGAAAAATAATCCCCACAACGTCAAATAACAGGCTTTTATCACATCCTGGGAACATTATATAACTGGACAACACACATACACACACACCTGCTAAGGGCAATCGGTTCACCTGAGGAGAATGAGGAAATCCAGTTACCTGGAAGAAACAGAATGAAAACATGGACACAACCTGCACACTCAATAAACTTCAGGATTCAGACTCACAGCCCATCCATTGTGCCACTCTTACCTTTTACTGTATTTTACAGGCTTCCTGCATGTTACTCTCCACGACTATGTTTACAAGAACTTAATTGGAAAATATCGAGAAGACATCCAGCATACTGTGTACACGTAATTACATTAGATACCCAATGACAGTTTAAGATATATATATATATATACACACAGTATATATATTGCAAAGTAACTATTAAAAATCAATTCAGAATAATATTAATGTGTCGACATTTGCACATTTATTGGGTTGAACGCTGTCGAACATGTCTGAAATTGTTTCTCTATAACTTCAGCTTCGTACAAGAAAACATCCAATTCCATACACGTGGATAGGAGGAAATCAAGCCAGCGTATAAAGAAAGTATAATTCATCATATAATAATGGCGTAGACGTGGGTGTCTCACACTACGGTATATAGAAAATATGATGACAGCAAAGTTGCAGGAGACTACAAAAGTAGTTCGGGTTTTTTACCTATGATATTTTGTGAAATATCTGCTTGTTGCAATCTACTTGAAACAACGTCACTAAACAAATATGACTTTTTAAATGAATTACTTAATACTATTTAAACCAAAAGCTCTTTAAAATCTTACTTGTCAATTTCCCATTTAAAGTAAGAACGTTATAAATGTCACTACGGAATAATTTTACGTGTACTTCCATAAAATATTTTTCAGAGAAAAATGGCATACATTGCACAAACATCTACAAATATATTAAACAACTTTAATGCCGATTCCTTTTAAGTTTCTGCGAGTTGCTAAAAAAATGTGCTTTAAATTCACATTTACCCATTGACTAGGCACTCAGCATCGGTTCTTTGCGCGTCATGAGAACATTCCAGTCTGGTAAAGTCAGTTTAGTATTTGAATAGTACAGAAGAACCGCCTCCTTATGATTGGATAGCAAGTGCTCCTGTGGGCGGGGAACCCACGTCAGTCACGGTCCGATTCCCATATCCATTGGCGTAATATTTTGGAGGCGGAGACAAACCCGGAGTATATATAGTCTGGCTAAGGATTTCAGGCTAATGATTGCTTTCTCACAGAGAGGGGGCCAGAGAGCTGTATTCAATGTTACTCCACAGACCTGACTTAAGCCGTCGCCCCCGGACCAGACACCGTGATTTCTGCTGAAGGGAAGACAGTTTTCTTTAGAAAGCAGGAGGAAAAGCACACATTTTCAAACATGATTGGCGTGACGGAGTGTGCGGTGGATGCACAAAGTCTAATTTCTATTTCCTTACGGAAAATCCACAACTCTAGGACGCAGCGAGGGGGGATCAAGCTGCACAAGAACCTACTGGTTTCGTACGTGCTGAGGAACGCCAGGCAGGTCTACATGAACGAAAAGTACGCGGAGATCTACCGGATGCAGCAGTACGAGGAGGTGATGACTGTCTGCAATGAGATCCAGGAGCTGAACCCGCTGGAGGAGTGTGAGGAGCAGAGCGCGGAGTGCTGCGGAGCCGGGAGCGAACCGGCGAGCTTCTGCGGCGCGGCCAGTCATTTAGCAGCGGCGCAGCCCGCGCATACCCAAGTGGCGAGCGCCTGTTCTGCGCCTTTATCTCTCCAAAGCGTGGAGCTCTGCAAGGAACCAGATTCCCCTTTCTACCGGAGCTGTTGCGCCGAGGCTTACCCTGCCTCCAGCTGCGATTTCTTGCCGACAGCCAGTATGCACTGCAGCAAAACAACTGTGCTGGACCTGGACACCCACGTAGTGACTACCGTGGAGAACGGGTGCCTGCACCAGGACTGCTGCGCAGCGCTCCAGCAGTGCTGCCAAGGCGCGCAACCGCCGGCGAAGAAGCGAAAGGCTGACTTCGGCTTTTACGCGTCCGAGCCCGAGGAGCTGCAGGACTTTGTGCCGTGTAAAAGGGCGAGGTTCGAGGACTGTCCTTTCCCCAGCGCAGAGCAGCTGGACACGCCGAATATCTCCAACCTGATCTCGATCTTCGGGTCGGGGTTTACGGGGCTTGTGAACAGGCAGGCGGACTTCGAGCAGGCTTTGAACGGACAGTTTTGTAGCACGCAAGCCCTGGCGAGCCTTGGCGCGTGGACTAGAGCCATTGTGGCTTTTTAGATTTCTGAAATTAAGAACAGATGCTTTATTGAATTGTAAGAAAAGTTTAAGACAAATTGACTTTATTTTTGCAAGAAAAAAATTAAACATTGAACAGCTTGAGTTTCGTTTAAATGGGGAGGGGGAGTATTATACCACGAGTGATGTGCAGAATTTCCTTTGATTCGAAAACGTCGACAATATTAACATTTTAAAATGATTGTTGTGGATTGTGTCCAAGTTGATTTCGTTGCCTTAAACACAATGTGTACTGCTGGCTGTCGCTGCAAACATTTAAAGTGACTGCCTGCTCGCGGACAGTTTCTCGTGCTTTTATTTCATGTTTGATACTGTCTTGCTCTAATACACGATTCAAATTGAACAATTCTCGGTTCAGTTGGAGGACTATCTTTATGAGGCTTTTGCGTGTGGGGGTTTAAATGTTTCATAGCCTACTGTAAGCAGTGTGGTACGGTGATACCTTTCCTTGGTGTAGAAAGGTACTAAATATTGAACATCACTGGCATATGAACTCTACTTCAGACAAAACTGAATCCTCTTCACCGCCCGATTGCACGCAGACAACGTGAATACTTGTTATTGACAGTAGCAAAAGGCGTTGAACTTGTATTTTAGTGCGGCCGTGCTTTCTGTATGCAGTTTGCTTTCTGATGAACTGTGTACGTTAGGATGTTGGGCGTCCTATGAGTTTTGCTTGTATTCCGTAGTTTGTGTCACTTTTCCCATCGCACTTGTAATCGGAGCGATTACTATACCACTACAATTCCCAGAATGCACACATAATTCAATCCGACCAGGTAATTTAATGGCAATTTGACGACCCCTCCCCAGCAGCTCCACGCGCATATACAACTGCAATCTCGAACAACTTGTCGGCTAAGCCTTCGAAACTATTCATAATGCCAACATTGCTTGGTTTTGTGAGTTTTCATTTTTTTCTATTCAGACCTTTTGTTCTAAAAAGGCAAGTCCATAATTTAGCCATGCACCATCACATATTAGCACTATGTGTCCTGATACAGACGTTACCAGACGTTCTCTCCATGTTTTGTTGGTATTCTTTTTGTGCATATTAAATTGTATCACCGGGTAATACTGTTTTAGAAATATTTGTCCAAATTTATAATCTTAATAAAAAAACTTTAAATACTTACTGTTTTGATTTTTTTTTATGTCTGAAAAAGAATATTCTGTCATGGGTCTCTTGTGGAGGTCATACCTAATTGGATCTAGTTACAACTTGGTTACTGTTTTTGCCTATACTTAACTTTTTCTTACTTCCTACACATGAGCCATGAAGCCCTGTCCAAGTATTATGTGTGAATTTCTGACCCATTTGGAGCCTTGTTCATATTATCTGCTGGACCACATCACTGTAATGACCATAGAAGAGGTCGTGGATCCTGTCAAAATTTCCTTTCCAAGCAATCGCACTGAAGCTGACCCCCAAATGCAAGATTTTGATACTATGATAAATGTCTAAGTAAGGTGCTGAGACCCTTTTACAAGCAACATGGGTTTACCCCAAACCAAAAAATGATGGTTCTCTTAAATTTATCCCTACCACCGTGTATGACTGTACCACAGAGTAAAACGTTTAATTCAATAAGTATTTGCAATGCCTTTAGTGCTGCCACTCCACTAATTTCGTTAACTGTGGCCCGTGTGAATTTCTTCCATCAAAATAAATAAATCTGATAATATAGATGCCCCCTTAGTGTTTGATTAAAGAGCATCTAAATTGCTCGCAAACGATAAAAACGCAAAAAAATATCCATCAGAGGTGACGTCAGTCGCATTTATTGGCGCATGCACGGTCGCACAATTCCGTTCATGTAGCGCACTTTCGGATGGGACATTTTCATCCGACTTGCCGTTTGTTATCTCTGCTATATGCCACTTGGTGGTGTTCTTCAAAATCAATGAATGAAGGTATCTGAGCCTGCATAGCCGTACCTCCGGCTGACCCCAGCTACGCTGTTTTCTAAAGCCCCCTCCCCCTCATTCTCTCCCGCCTCTCGTTTGTATTTCAGCTCGCAATCTCCCCAACTCCTTTCAACAATTTACCGCAGTTCGTTCAAAACATCAGCACTGTTACAAGAGTCTACTGTACGCGAAAATTATTTGTTTTTTATATTGAGACCATACACCCATTTTTGCTGGTCTGTATGCTTTATATTCTCAATTTAAGGAAGAGCCCGTTGTGCATGATTCTCGAATATAGTTTATCTACCTCTTCTGAAAAAAATGCTGAAGGTAGTGCCGACGAATCATTAAACAGTTTTTAAAATTTTAAAAACATATTCACTTTTTTCATTGCGAACCGATTTTGCTTATTTTGTACCTACTTGAAAGCTGACCTTGTTGATACGATTTTTCGTTTATTTGGCGTTTGAATTCATTTCTCGATCAATGTATTTTTTTTTAATTCTCAATCACAGCATTCGGATTTATGAACCATTAAAATGTTCCAATTTCTCCTGTCGTGAAAATTACATATATATATATATATATATATATAAATAGCGGAGTATTACAAGTTCATTGGTGTAGAATGAGCGCCTCCTTGTGGTTCTGCGTTTTGTTATCATTTTACCCAAAAGCCACTCCCGTTAAAAAACCCCACGTCTTGTTTCGACAAGACTGAAATTTAACCCAGCAGTTAGAAGGAAGGGTCTTGAGAGGGTTTTCAGTAAACCCAAGGTTATTAATTTAAAAACCAACAGAAATATAAAACCAGTTTCATACTCCGAGTGTCTAGCATACAATTAATATATAATGGACTCCTTTCCTCCATGAAACAATAAAGGTATACTGTGTTTTGTTGTATTTTTCAGGTCCAGGATAACTCTCGACAGACGACTCCAACCGCTTCTAACTGCACCGCACTTATCGCCTGTGGTAGCCTTGATAAAGGACGGCCTTCTTGTGCATTTAAATAGAGTGCTGAGATCCGCGTAATCTTTTAGGGGCAGTGTGGACAATGCAACAGTTTTGCGTGCCCCAGGATCACAGCTGCCACTTACTGTGGCCCGTTAAAGCAAAGGTGGGAGGCCGTGACCAAACAAGTGCCGTGATTGTCCTAGTATCCCGGGTCGTACGAATACAAAAACCATGCCAGCAATCATGCAACGTCCCCGCCTCACCGCGTGTGTTGTTAATACCCGTTATTAAACACGCGTACTTGGAAAAAAACGCATTTGAAGAATTTTTAAAATTTCATGCACCATAGTATGTTAGGAAGCTACAGGATTTGCCTAAAACGATTTATTACACCCAAACCCAACAAGTACTGGAAACGTTGCGATTATGTTACTATATATAGTGGCTTCAGATGTTGTCTTGATGTTACCTGATGATTACAGGCAAAGAGCCGGGCAGAAAGATATTTGCATGCTGCTCAAACTGTGCGGTTTCTAAAGAGAGTTAACAGTAAAACGGTCACATTTGAAAGTTTGTAAAAAAGATAAATAGATTCAGAACTAGGCAATACGGAACCAGCAGCGGACCATGCCGGGAAGTTCTGGGTTACACTGGGTGGTGAAGTTGATGCTCGATGCGAGATGTTCACTGCACAGGCGTTTATATAACGTACGATTTAGTCGTGGGAGACGGCGTTCCGACTTTATGGGATATCATTTTCATAAATGCAAATGTCCGTCCAAAGCCAGCTTCGTGTTCCAGGCGATCGGCACATTAGAACAATAATGTACAGAAAATAGAGACAAATCAAACATTTGAAATATTCATCTCTCGTTCCAGACAGGAACAAGTATTGGCAACAGCTCAAGCATATTTTACAATTATGTATGCAACCATTAGTCAGTGCTTGCAAAAGAACAGATAATTATTTTAAAAGAGACGGTGTCAGGAGTAACATACACCATGAAGTTACAGATTTAGACGCTGGATCTAAGCCCCATTTCAAACTCGGCTTGCATTTGAGAAACAAAGAGATTCGTGCCGATTTACACACCTGAGTGGCTTTCTTGTTGCTGTTTACTGTTGGGACAAATCTCCCGCCGCGATCAATAGGCCTATGGTAAATCCACATACAAAAAAATAAAGTGTGTATAGCTATTCGGGGTGGATTAAACATGTAAAATTACTTGACATGGGCGGTCTTTTGAGATTTGTGAGTGATAATTGGAACGACTGTCAGTAATTAGTATCGATGTATAATTTATTGTTAGAGGGAACTTAATACCAGTTGTTTGTGTACAGCAGTTACAGTCATAATTATTCAATACACAAATGTGTCCATCTCAACATAAAGTACACCTCTTTGAAAGGAGATAAGTCAAGTTTTTCTCCATAAAAATGTGAAACTTTGGCAAACTGTTAATTCTTCTACTTGCTGTCAAAGTTACAATGACAATAGCTGCCGGGTCGACAAACCGTATTCCTGCTGTGTATTCACTGTTAGCTATACCAGTATCACTGGGGTAAATGCTGAATGTTGGAATTAAAATATCAGTTGTAAATTTATTTTTTTTAATGATAGGAAAATAGGGACCAATTAGCCATGAGGTTTAACCTGAATATTTGGGTCAGACTTGGATCAGATGTATATAGGTATGGTGACGGGATTGTAATGAGGATGATTTCAATAATAATAATAAAGTGGGATGGATGGATGGATGGATAAAGGATGGAGCACAATATTTATTATAATTATTATTATTATTGAATTGACATGAATACTAATGTCCTGAACTAGATAGTGTAATTGAGCATGAACCCAAAGTTAACCAGCGACATGGATTAGTTTGCATTGTATGTTGTCATATATATGCTGTGAAGAGTTCTAGGGTAATGGGTGATGCAGTGGTTAGCACTGTTGCCTCTGGGACTTGGGCTGCTTGTGTGTGTGTGTGGAGTGAATGGTGCGATAGTGTGCCCTACAATGATGTGGTGATTCAGGGAAAGGCTCTAGCCAAACCCCCCCCCCATGACCCTGAGTAGGACAAGTGGTTACAGGAAAGAACAGAACTGAAACAGAGGAGGGATGAAGTATTTAATCATAATTGATTTTTAGTTACCATAAGCTCTAACTCCAGAAAGACCCATATGGTTGTTAAGTGTCACGCTTAATGTCCCGCACTGACACCCAGAGCTGAAATGCAGGGATGTGGCACTGAAATCAGAGGCCTGTGCTGGATTTGTCATGCAAATGAGGGCCAGAGGGGGCCGTTTTCACTTAGGCCGGGCCCACATTCTCCGGCCCTGGGACAGTCCTACAGTCCTGCTTAGATATATCCCAGTGAAGGTCCGCTGGAGCACATACCAGAGGGACATGAACGGAATTGGGGGGGGGGGGGGGTTTGATTAGGGCAAAATCATTGTTACCTTTCTTTATCTGTGGTACAACCCCAAGAATGGTTGTCTAGTGGGAAGAATGTTTCTGGATTTAGGGTTTAACATAAGGAGGAAAGGCTGACCTTCATAAAGCGAGGAGATGCTAAAAGATTTGGATTGCTGCCCTTTTAAATGATTTCTTTCCACGGTCGTCTCAGAAATGGCGCCGCGCACATCCACCAGAAGCAGCATGTTCGTATCCCAAGAAAGACCTTAAGCAGCCTGCACAACTTCTTATTTACTGGGCAGTTCAGTCTAAGAATGACATCAAGCTGATTTTGTTCACCAGACCGTATCCTGCATTTTAAAGAAAATTGTTTTACAGAGCCGGTGCTTTGTTTTTCTAAAAAAATAATAATAATAATAATAAAAAGAAAAAGTCATCCTCTGATACACGGACAGATTTATATTCCGGTTTGTTTAGACAGTAGGAATTTTGCATTTATGTCATTATTATTTTTCTGCCACACTTAATTCAGCTTGATAGAGCAAAATCTCAGTGTTATAGTATATAGATGGGCTGGGGGGTGGGGGGGGCGTAATCCTAATGTTATCTTAACCTTCTTATTCTATAAAGCAGTGTTTTCCAATCTGGTCCTCGGTGACCCACAGACAGTCCATGTTTTTGCTCTCTCCCAGCTACCTAGGAGCAGAAATGTGGACTATGGGGTAGGGAGCAAAAACATGGACCGTCCACGGATCCCTGAGGACTGAAGTGGGAAACAATGCTAAAGAGAGAAAGAACAGAGACTAGATAATGGTGGAAAACTCACCAGGAAGCCAGCCACGATCCAC